TTTGTCCTGACAGACTTCACCCGATCAAATGTGTAACAATATTTGCACTGATTCTTAGTTGTATTTTTCTTGCAATTTTGTTTCACTTGGTAACCCTGTGCGTTTTTGTGAACTGGATTATTCGGTTGTTCCGAGAAAATACATGAATTTAGCAACGATATGACTGCCGTATCATATATACCGAAGAAAGGAAAAAATGTGATTGCTGTTACCACTGGGCACAGAGATGATCGAATTGATGAAGATACTGGTGATCAGAAAAAAAACAGAAATAATTACTGTTTATAATTCCACAAAGAGTGGAATATATGTTGTAGACAGAATGATCACATCATATAATGTTTCCAGAAATACGAAACGTTGGCCAATGGTAGTAGTTTATAATCTCTTTAATCTCGCAGCAATTAATGCATTGGTAATTTACAAAGGCAACAACCAAGATGGAGAATCTTCAAAACGCGAAGATTATTCCCAAAAAACCTAGGTATGGAATTCGTACACTAGACTATACGACGGAGAGCAGGAGAGTAAGAGAGGAAATTGTTAATATTGCAAAAGACGCAAAACTTGCTTTTTTTGGAAAATTTGTAAATCCTGGCTATGTATGGACCACATAATGGCATGCTGGCAAAGTTGCTTAGAAAATTTGACCACCAAAGTTTGACCACTGTAGTTTGTGTCCACAATTTAATTTTTTAGTTTATATATGTTTTTGTAGTACTTTGTTTGTTTCTAATTAAAGTTTTAAATGTTTTTTTCATTATTTAGTCGCTGTTTACAAATTTGAAAAAACTATGTGTTGAAATTGTAAACATTTTTAAAATTTACCTAATACAACTTAAAAATTTTTTGAAATTGTTTCTGTAATAAACATTATATAGTAAATAATTTGTTTAAAACACGTTGATGTGAAATTAGCAATAAAATGTATGCTGTTGCTCAGGAGGCGGTATTTCATTTTGATCCTCACAGACCACACCCGACCGAAAGTGTTTCAGAATGGTCACCCGATGAACGGAGGGTTAAGCACACTCGATTCACGTTGCATTCTGACTAAAACAATAACAAAATATTAGCAACAAACAGCAGTAGTTCACACAACGATTTAAAAATGACATTAACCTCTTATCGACATTGACAAATTTATACCACCTTTTCTTGTCATGAAATAACCCATTTGGTAGTTATTTTGTGCACTATTATTATCAGATGTATAAAGATGAATACAAATTATTGCTAATACGTGCCGTCATTCGTCTACTATATTGTTTTATATATTATGATTATACCTAGGCTACGCTATATGATAATTTTATAATAACTTCTATATCATGGGTCCTGCATTCTAGTAAGTACATAAAAACTGGAGCGAAGCTATAGCTAATATCGTATAGTTACCTGTGTTAAAAAATTACGCTACAAAAAGCTTTTCAGAGTTAATTTTTATTTTTCTTTGTTTTGGTATATACCGAATAAAAGTTTTTGATTGCATAAGTCAAAAATTTCAGAAATGAACCTATAAAACTTTATTAATAAATCCCGTAGAAAGTTCTACCGGACGATCTTCTGCATGTTGTTAGTGATTCCAGCATTGTTTTGTAGTCGTTTTATAATTTTAATTTTATCATGAAGAATTTAGAGAACGTTGGATGTCGAGAGCTAGCACGGAACCAGAGTAGAGAATTCCTCTACAAAATGCTTAATTAAATTTTTGTGTATACCAAACATTCTTTAAATTATTTTACTTTCTATACATTGAACTAAGCAATTAATCTACATGGTGGCTTTAACAAGAAATTAAAACGAAGAAACATCGAGATTTTAAATTAAATAAATCAAACAATAGTATAGTAAACATGGTTAGAAACACAGAAAAGGTTATCGAAATTTGGAATTTTAAAATACCATATTAATTCAAATAGACAGATAGATTATTAGAAAAGTTTATTTGAGCAATTACATGGTCAAATTCGTTACTGTTATGTTTATATTAAACCTATTAAATACTATTACTGGAATTAATATTAAACTCACTTCCGGGTTGAACCACGTCGATTATTATAGCGCCGAGCTTTTGACATCCTCTTCGATGTCAGGGTTTTCGAGATCTCAGTCCCCAAGCCCTCAGAAACTACTACACTAAGCACTAACCAATGCATTACTGGTACTGGGAATAGAGAACGGTTCATTTATATCGAGGATGGTGATGTGGTTTGATAGAGATTGGCTTGGGGTTAACGTGAGCTTAGGGCGGGCATTGACGCAAGGACGCGAACATTTCTGATAGTAGGATTTTGATTAATGAGTGGAGCGGACGATATTTTCTTTCTTAAAGACGAGAGGTCTCCAAGTCGAAGGTAATCGTATGCCGTCATCTCTTTTATTGAGACTATTTGGCCTTTTTTCAATTTCTATGGCTTCTGGGATAATTCTTGGTTTATAGAAGCGGATGGAGGCTATAGTTATGGAGTTTTCAAAATTAATTTTATGACCAGTATGAAGATGGTGTTGATCTAGAGATGATAGATCTTACGATTTGTTGGCCTATAAAAGATCGGTCGCAGTCTGCACAAGTCATTTCATAAACTCCGTGTTGTTCATTTGGAATGTTGTCTTTGATTGATCGGAGCGATATCTTGTGTAGTTATTTAAGAATTTTTGAAAGGTAAACTAGATACGGCTTCTTCAGTTTGATATATGACTGTCTCAATTGGAATCCGACTTGGAGTAACAAAGTTTTTAAAACCATTTGCTAAAGCTTGAGTGGCAATGGTCGAAAAAGAGCGCAGTGGTAATCGATACGATTCAACCCAAAAGTCTGTTGAGTTTAATCTTGTTTACAGTTGAGGTTTTTTTTTCTTTAACTAGCTGTCACAATCCATCTGTTACCGTAGGGTACCTTCAAGAAGTCAACGTCTGGGCTGGTATTTTAGGTAACAACTTAATTGACCTTTTTTCCATTGTGGGTATTTTGTGTCATCGTAAATACCTCGACCTCCTGAGAAATCACATAATTCCGGCAGTTTGAGCATAACCTATTAATATAGATGAAATTTGGTTGCAGAAAGTTACAATGCACGTGATGTGTTAGATTTTTTAAACATTAAGTTATTAGTACAAAAGGTACCATAAAAAGTTGCTCTCCTGATTTTTCACCTTTGACTGTTTGTATGAAGATATGTAAAGCAGAGAGGATAAAGGGGGCGAAAACATGGAGTTGATTCCAGTTTACTCCAATTAGTAAACTCCAACTAGTAGACACGCTGGTGTCCCCTGCAAACCGAGCAACCTAACTGAAGATCCGGTATCTAACCCGGGTGGAAAGTTGGTTTGGGAACTAACGAGAGTAAGTTAAATGGTCCTCCAAAAAGGGGGTGTTGGGTTATCTATCCAATCCTGTAAAAAACCTTTTGTTATAAGAGCTGCAAAGAAAGAAACCAGACTGTATAACCTACGACGAACTCGCAAAAGAAATAAGGATAATGTTTTAAAAATTTGCATGTTTAATGTAAGAAGCCTTTATCAGTATGGAGCCATGGCTCTGCTAATACCTGGATATAAAAAGGCCAAAACAGATATCATTGCTTTACAGGAAATGAGGTGGACTAGCTCGGGCATCCTGGAAAAAAATAACTGCATACCAGATTTATTCTAAGCAGTAATGTCAAACATAGTGTAATTGATTTCAAAGCTAATGATCATAAGATATGTCGAACACGACTTAAAGGGAAGTTCGGTAATATTAGCATTATTAGAGTGATATACAATAAGTGTCCAAAAAATGACATCAAAATAATAGCAGGAGACTTTAATTCCAAAGTCGGAAGGCAGAATATATTTTGGTCTACCATCGGAAAAGAGAGCCTATGGGTAGACTCTAATGATAATGGTCTTAGAATAATAAGCTTTGCGATGTCTAAGAATATGATAATATCTGGGACACGATTTTCCCGTAAAGATATACATAAGGGAACTTGGAAATCTGATAATGAAGCGATTAACCAAATATATCATAAAATTATCGATATAAAAGACTGCTCTAACTTATCGATACACTTATTTGATACACTTATCGGCTCAGAACGGCTATAAACCAAACAGGACACTGAAAAACCCCAAACTAAAACTTTCTGATACTTCCTCTTCATAAAAGAACTTTAAAATTCCAAAACAAAAACTTTTTAAGCCACCTCTGTCCCCTACCTTTGAACTCAAGTGTCTTTAAAGAACGTCGAAGCAGAAGTGCGCGATAGTCACTTGTTTTGAGCTAGCTAAACTATGGTTGCAAACCTGAACGCTTGGTGTCTCTGTTTAATACCAATTTAAAATTTAAGAATTAAGAAAATCATTAAGATGATTTGATTTTAAAAATTTTATTTAAAAATGTTAAAGAATAGAATATAGGAAAATGTTAGAAAATAGAATATTTAAAAAAGGATTATTGAAGTGACGGACTCGTTACAACATTTTTTATTTCATTGGTGGTTATGGTGGTCATTATGGTCATATGGTGCTACTTAAGATTTTATAGCTCGAATCTATGTATAAAAATATTTGAAAAGATCTTTTAAACATAACTTTAAGTATAAAATTTATAGCACGGCCTGATTAATACTTATTCCGGTAAATTTACATTGTGGGCTTTCATAAGTTACCAAAGATAAAATAATACCTAAACCAATTCTGCAGTGAATTTTAGTACTCGTGGACTTATTTCTTATCAACACATGTAGATTTGATATCATTTTCATATCATTGCGTCTTGCGTGCATGCGGTAAGTTATCGGTCCAAATATAGTACTTTCTGGCCTTGATATGGTTTAGTTTAAATTAGAATATGTCCTATTTTATTAAAACTTGAATAATTTATAGTGGAGAGCCTTATATTCGAAATATACTTTTTAGTATAAGAATAAAGTAAATCTTTCGTACGTATCTATTGCGGGATCAATACCTAGCTTATCTGATAAAGGTTGGATGTTTATTATTTATTTAAAAATGACATAAAAGATAATATTTTATTATAAAAAATATAATTTAACAACAACATCACAATCACTAAGAATATAGAAATAATATTAATCACAAATCAGCTATCTAAAAGTCTTTCATGTAAAGAATCTTTCAGTAACTTATAAAATTCCAATTGTGCATTTTCGTTTAGATTCAGTATTTGCTGAAACACTAAATCAACGTCTGGTGTTTTTATAAACGAGCTTATATATACGTTGACAAAAGTCATCATCAAAAACTGGCAGTCGAATCTGTCCATAATGCCCCCATGGCCTGGAATGAGATCACCGAAATCCTTGACTTTATTAGCTCTTTTGAAACCAGAGGCTGCGAATCCTCCGAAAGGAGCTATAATACTAGCAAATACCGACATAAATAAGGAATGCTGGATGAAGGGATAATAATTTATTGAAAAGCCTGTATTTCCTATATGATAAGGAATTGGTTCAAAAACGTAACTTCTGGTACAATTTGTAGAAGCAACAATGTTATCATCAACCTCTATATATTTTATTGGACAAACTAAATATTGAAAGTGACAAAAAATCCATGCTAATATACTGCCTAGTATAAAAGTGCTAAGACCTCCAAGTACAAAGCCCTCTAGTGTTTTATTGGGGGAAAGACTTATTAAAGGTGTCTTACCAAAAAATTTTCCGAACACATAAGCAAATACATCATTAAGTATAACTAACCACAATGGAATGATTAACCAAATCAGACCTTCATACATATTTTGGTAAGTCAAGTACAACTGCAGACTAACCATCATAACAAGGAAATGTGTCCAAAATAATAAACTAAACTGTTGGCGTATAAGTTTCTTTTTTAACATGGTTAAAAACCAAATTATACCAATAAAGTACCAAATAAATGACATGAATCTATGGTATCTAGCAAGAACTTTTAGAAGATAGTACTTCTTAATAAATACTTGAGTATATTTAGCTAATAATTCTCCAAATAACAGATAATTAGCTGTAATTACAAAATACCAATTGATTGTCCTAAAAAACGGAACATCGGGAATTTTTTTGATTTGGTAGGCAATTTTGATGATTTCCTGAAAACATTTAAATTGAATAAACAGTCCGGTGACTGTAATGAAAGGAACTCCGCCGTATACTACAAGACCAAATCCTGCTAACATTGATAACCCAGTGATCGTTCTTTTGAGACCGGTTCCAATCTTTGGTTTTGGTGGAGACTCTTGGACTGATGGGTTAGTTTCAACGGGAAGTTTTTCTGTCTCCATGGTTGTCTGGAATAAAAGAAATTTTATAAATAATTAAATTTTATTGCAATAAATAAAAAGTTTGTAAGTCTAAAACTATTTAAATGATTGGTCATTATAATAACAGTTAATTTTGATCTAGCATAAACGTTGATCTACAAGACAAAGACAAATTGTGGATCATTTTTGACTCTGTACGGACTATTAAATACATTTCAAATTTTAGTATACATAAAAGGGGTTATATATTATCATAGATGTTTCTTATAAAAGTAATTAAATTCTAGTCCAGACCGAATCTATTTAGGTTGATTGCAATTAGTCAGACCTTATATTTTTATAGAAATATCACTGGATCGCAATATCAGCGTTCGTTAAGATAAAGTCTTTTTTCAGAAGTTACGATTTACTAATTAGTACCAAAATGTCTATCATCATATGCTATGCATTTTCTACATTATTATATGAAGTAGAGGCATGGACGAGGCCTTTGAGATGTGGTATTACAGGCACATCTTACAAATTTCATAGAAAGATCGTGTGACTAATATTGAGGTCCCACGTATAATGGGCAAGAAATGCGAGATCACTAACATAATCAAAGAGCGCAAATTAGAATATCTTGGCCATGATATGAAAAACGAACAAAAATATAGCTTATTGCAACTCGTTCTTTAGTGCAAGGTATTTGGAAAGAGAAGGCCAGGGAGAAGAAGAATATCTTGGCTTTAAAATCTAATAAAGTGATTAAATACATCTACAACAGGACTATTCCGAATAGCTGCAAGTAAAATTAGGATGGCTATGTTGATACCCAACATCCGGAATGGATAGGCACCGTAGGAAGAAGATCTCTGAAAAGTGTTTTCCAAACATTGTGATTTCTACAACTTTTTTTTTAAGAATATTCAAATTTTAGTTATAAACTACCTTTCGCAGATATTTCTACAAAATCTTGGGTCCGACTTATTACCTCCAACTTAGTTATTATTTTTTTAACAAATCCCTACTGTATTGGACTGGAGGGCGAAACAATAAGGGAATACACTTCTATAACTTTTGTAATATAAACACAGCTACACATGCACTACACAATGTAATATCAACTAATATTTCGAGACAAGCTTCAAAATTTGATTTTAATAACCCAGCTTACTTTAACGTTGCCGTCAAATGCAGTAATGCAGCGCATTTATACAGTACAGTGTGAAATTAAATAGCCTGCATCTTGCAGTCAATCGATTTTGATTCTTTTAAAACTAAAATGAAGGTTAATAAAGCAATTTAATGCTTTTTATGTCTTATAATATTATTCAGCTCGACTTGAAATGTGGCAGAGCCCTTGGGCCACATCCAGTTCACACCGAGCTGAGTAAAACTATGCATGGTACAATTTAACGCACTAGCTAGACTCTTTAACAACATACAAATTTGTAATACAGAGCTAAGTTGGCTAATTTTAACTATTGAATGAAGTTATTCTTCTTTCATGCAGGAAAAAGTTGGCTGGTATTAACTGTTGGACGAAGTTGTCCTTGTTTCAAGCAGGGAGAACATATGTTCTCTTAAACTGATACCCTATAACATCGACCTTGTATCATCAAAATTTTATAATATAATAGGGTTTTTACACATATATTGATAGCTAGTTTCAACTCTCAAAATGTTTCACTAATGGTGATCCGACTGGACCAAAAACTTTTGAAGATATTGGTAGTCCTTTTGCATAGATTTTGAAAATGTTAATAATAAAAGACACTATCATACATAAGAAATCTTTACTGCTTTGTAGTTTTTTCAAAAATATGGTATACAGCCAACCACTAGGAACTTTACCTTTTATTTTGTTGGGATATTGAAAATATTGAATGGCCACTTGATAATTCAGATTGATCTTAATCATTGTGTGATTTTCAATTTGTTTAGACAGATTTTGCTATTATGATACATAACAACAAATATTGATTATTGTTAATAAATATTTTTGACACTTTTTTAACAATAATTACCTACATGTTTGAAAAGTTTTTTTCTTGGTCGATTTTTATAATTCAGTCTATGAAAATTGGTATATAATATCATAATAGTCCAGTCGTCAGAGATTTGACCCCTAAAAACCATACAAACAAGCTGAATTTTGCAGAGAATATTAATTTTGCGATGCCAAAAAAGGTGCAAAACAGTTTACCACTTTTATCACCGGGCTTCCCCTAAAACTCCCCTCGCATGAGGGTAAAAACGCAAAACACTCGATTTAACAAAAATCTGTATATCGTAGAAAAAATGTTTCAAGCAAAAAAGATAGTTAAGAAAGAGATCATTTTAAACAAAAATGTTTATAAGTATTTTTTATGTAGATTAAACCGTTCTCTTAGAAACAACTCTTGAAGCGAGCGTCGATTTTGAATGTCACTTAAGCGCGCGAAATCAATGTTCAATAAAATTTGTATCAGATCGGCGGCAAAAATTTGATAACTTTTGATTCAAGTGATCTATCGACAAAATTCAAGATGCGTTTTAAAGGTAAAGAGTTCAACTTGCGAATGCAGTTTTTGTATTTTGCCACAAATAGACTCAGATGTAAAAAGTTGGTAAAAAAACTTTTTTGCATCTTTTTTGGGGTTCCAAAATTAGGACGCTTAGCAAAATTCAGCTTGTTCGTCAGATTTTTATAGGTTCAGTGGCATTTTTGTCTCTGACGACTGGAGTATAACATGTGACAAAAAACTTATCAAAATATATGTATAATGTATTAAACTAATTACATTTTTATGATTCAAATGCAATTGTAGACCTTATTAAACTACAAAATTAATATTTTTAAAATACAAATCTATATTTTTAAACATAATTTTTAAATGTTTTTATTTTTTGTTTGTCTTTCACCTTACGATTTGATACTGACGATATTGAACATTGTAGACCTTATTTAACTACAAAATTAATATTTTTAAAGTACAAATCTATATTTTTAAACATAATTTTTAATTGTTTTTATTTTTTGTTTGTCTTTCACCTTACGATTTGATACTGACGACATTGAACAAAGTTCAGCGTTCTAAGCAATTATATTGTTGTCGGTATAATCATTAAATTTGTAAATTCGAATTAATAATCATTTTGTCTTAACCAACGACTCATACTAGCAACAGATATTTTTATGAAGCTGTTCTGGTATAAAGATAGAAGTAGGCTAGTTTTACTGCCCGAAATTATTTTGTTTTAAAACTATAGTATCAAAAAACAGTGATTCTGAATATATGATTACTATCGACGAAAGAAACTTATAAAATAAATGGAAACGACTTTAAACAAATCATCGTTATCATCATTTCTGGCTATGAAACCGGACATTTCGCCATTTGAGTTTTACTATCTTCTCCACGACCTCCATGATCTTAATTATCCATTTTATTTTGGTGTTTTTAATTTTGCGTCTTGAAACATTTTTAGCATATTTATTTCTTTCGGAAATGACTCAAGCTACGAAACATGGACTATATATTTGGAAACTGGAATGTGAGGACACTAAACAAACCAGGAGCTCAAACCGCACTTCTGCAAGAACTAAAAAGATATAAGCTCATGATTACTGCTCTTCAGGAAACAAGATGGCTAGGAAAAGGTATCAGTGACACTAAAACGCACACATTTCTATATAGTGGGAAGGAAAAAGAAAGTAAAGAATATGGAGTTGCATTTGTGGTGGATAATGATTTTAATATTGTTCTGAAGCTATTTTCTTGTGGCATTGTAAATTAATTACTATTAAACTGGGAATAAGCCACAATTAAAGATAAAAATACGTTTATTGACGTTTCAATTTCCACTTCGGAAATCGTTCTTAAAATACAAACAGTAAATATTTATTGTATTTTGAGAACGATTTCCGAAGTGGAAATTGAAACGTCAATAAACGTATTTTATCTTTAATTGTGGCTTATTCCCAGTTTAATAGTAATTAATGATTTTAAGTCAAAAACCATAGATTTCCAGGCAGTCAGTGAAAGAATATGCAAGTTACGAATTTGCACCCACTTCTTTAACCTAACAATGGTAAACATTCACTGCCCAATAGAAGAACAAAAACAATACACAAAGGAAAGCTTCTACCAACAGCTGGTATATGACAATACGCCCAAAAATTTACATCAATATGGCATATTGATCAGTTATGGCAATTACCCATCAGTTCTATGGCATAACAGGAAAACACCCACTGCACAATGAAACAAGCGAGAATGAGGAGTTTTAGATTAATTTTACCACCAGTAAAAACATGGTTATAAGTTGCTTCCTACCTAAGGACATACACAAAATGACATGGATGTCACCAGATGGAACCATAACCAATCAAATCGACAATGTGCTGATACACAAAAGGGCAGCCAGTAGTATCTCAGATGTGAGAACACGACGGGGAGCATGTTGTGTATCAGACCATCTTTGACTGCAAATCAAGTTTGGATGCAGAGTTAACAAAAAACGAAACGAAAGACAACAAATAACAAACAAATTGGACCTGGAAAGTTCCAGGAATCCAACTAAAGATTGATGTGTATGAAATTCTCTACCATGAAAGTCCTCACGTATATTATATACTAGCGGCTCCAACCACTAGCAAAAAATAATATTATAGAGTATTAAACGGGCTTCCGTCGGGAAAGATCGACACTGGATCAAATATTAACAGTCAAACAGATCTTGAGTAAATCATGGAAACATGACATTGATGTTCACAACGTTTTTGTAGATTTCAAACAGCCATACGACTCAGTCAAAAGAAACAAACTCTACAATATATTGGCTGAAGTGGCAATGCCACACAAGCTAATTAGACTCATTAAAACCACAGTATATGAAACTCAGGCATGTGTACGAATACAAAACCACCGAACAAAAATTGTTCAAAATTTCGCAAGAATTAAAGCAGGCAGATGGACTGGCCCCCACTTTGTTTAACCTGGCACTGGAGTATGTAGTTAGGTAAATGTAAACTGAACAGGGAAACCTACTGACCAACAAAA